GACAGCAGTACTATGCCATTGTCTATTCATTCTCACCTTTTTATCTTTCCTGTTTATCTTACAACTATACATAGGACTAGCATAAAGGGCTAGCCTTCATAATACATCAATCTACTGGTTTCCTATTTTAAAAGGTAAACAACTCTGTTTCGAGAAAGTGAAATGCAGATAACAGAATTGTCTAATGGTGACACTGGAGTTAATATAAGGCTCCTGGGAACTCTGATACAGTAGTGCACACACAGAGGAGCTGCACAAGTGTAAATTCAGCCAATTTTGACCAATAACACTTGTGCTGACTTTGCTTATTTTACGCAACTTACTCAGCTGCTCTACTACAGGCTGCAAACTGTTTACAGATTAAAACTAAACTGAAAGGGAGTTTTTAAAATTAATTCTCTGTACACTTACATTAAATTGGTTCTATCTAGAAATCTGCTTTGAGTGGGACAACACAGATCTTTACTGATTGTCATAGTTTGTTCTTTTAATTGCTCTTAACATGCTGACAATTTTTGCTGTTAAGTGTCCTGCAACTTCTTATGGAAGTAGCTATAGAGATGTTTTTTCATTTGTAACTAGCAAAGAGTTGAAGACAGAAAATCACAAAGTTTCTGTTTCACAGGAAATATATGTACTTCAAGTAACTGGCTAAGCTCAAATTTTATCTGAATCTCTGGCACCACCTACAGATGATATAAAATATTTCATCATCACTTTAAAGAAATCTGAAATCCAATATACAGTAATAGCTGCATACAGAGATATGAAAACTACCGAATCTTGCTTTCCAGCAACTAAAGGTTTGTGCATTTATATTGGAAAAACTGTAATAAACAGACCAGATTATCCTCTTATCCTTCTACTTTCCACACTAAATGGTATCTTGTCAATTTTCAACAAATGGTTGCCTCGAAGTACAGCATCAACGTGTGAGATGAGATGGAATTTAAATTTTCTAGCCAAACTAGCCCGTGAGTCTCTGGTAGCCAATGCTGTAGAAGACATTCTAAAATCAAAACCATAATAAATTGAACCCAGCATTCCTGCCAACTGGAGGGGGTGGACCAACTCTTGTTCCACTAGCAGCTAGGCAGCACTATTATGCTCTGGAGCCAGAGGGCTGTCTAGCTGATGATAAAGTCTGCATGATAATGCTGAAAGTTGGGGAAACAGAAGCCTCCAGCTGTGATTGGGAATTGTAATTTACTTAAGAACATAAGAATGGTCATACTGGTTCAGACCAAAGGTCCATCTAGCTTGGTATCCTGTCTTCCGATAGGAGGACTTGTGGCACCTTAGAGACTAACTAATTTATCTGAGCATAAGCTTTCGTGAGCTATAGCTCACTTCATCGGATGCATTCAGTGGACAGTGGCCAATGTCAGGTGCCCCACAGGGAATGAATAGAACATCATCAAGTGATCCATCCCGTCGCCCATTCCCAGCTTCTGACAAACACAAGGTAGGGACACCATCCCTGTACATCCTGGTTAATAGCCATTGATGGACCTATCCTCCATGAACTTTAGTTCTTTTTTGAACCCTGTTATAGTCAAATAAAGCCAGTCTTGGCCTCCTATCCACCCACAGAGAAGTATTTTAAAAAAATTGTTAATTTTCCTAAAATAAAATGGAGGAATAGTAACTGGGAGAACTCACAGGGTATACATTTTGGGAAGCATATTCATTTTGATAATATAAATTTTGGCCCAAAGGCTAAGAGTAAGGATTCGCCCTCTGCCCAAATATCTCAATGAACTAAAATGGGCTCTAAATTAATTTTGAACAGATTCTCCAGCTCACTGGGGCTGAGGATTCCTAAATATTTCATATGTTTGGGTTGCCACCTAAAATTCCAATTATCATAGATTCCCCTATGAGCAAATTTGCTTTTATGCCCAGAATTTGACTTTGCTCGTTGATTTTATAGTCAAGAGGTGTCCAAATGCATTATTTAAATAGAGTAGGAGCAAGATTTTCAGGTTTAGACACAAGAACGTTGCAAGGATAAACAATGATCTTCTGCTGTTTTTGTTGACACTGGTCCCCACATAGATTGCAGTGCATTGACCTTGCCAAAACAGACTGCTGCTGGAAATGTGGGTCTCCCAGACCAAACTGGCTCACATGTTTTGGGACTATCCCATGCAATAATACTTTTGGCTAGAAGTAGGTAGGAGGATTAATATGATAACAGATACCTCCCATCATCTTAACCTCTCCAACTCATAGAAAACTTCATTCTCTAAAGCAGTGCTTGTATCCAAATGACTTATATTGCTTAGGTGGAAGAACAGACTGCCTCCAGGAACAGAAGCTTGGCATAGCAAGTTGGCTCACCTGGCAGCTAAAGAGCAAGTACCTTTTGGAAAAGGGGGACCTCTGTCAAATTTGAAAAGATTGGGTCTAACTTTTTAGAAACCTTTGATTATTTTTCTCTAGCAGATGGAAACCACGATGTCATTCTCCTTTCCTCTCCCATTCCTTTACTTTTTTTGTTCTTTTGTCTTTTTTCTCCCGTTTATTTTGAAAATATATATTTGCCTAAAGTGGGCATAAGCCTTTGGTGCTTGGTTTATTGAGTTTGCTTTCAATGTTGTTCTCCAATTGCCTATCATTGCGTACGACAAAGGGGCTGGTTCCTTTAACACAGAAGTCAATAAGGGCTTTGCCATGTCGTTCCACTAATGAGGGATCAAACCGAATACCCTCCCTTACAGCATTAGGGTTTTAGAAGCTCAATGAAGTTTTGTCTTGAGAGGGGAGAAAATGTTGTTTGCTGTTAAAAGATTTAAAATGTTTGCTTGTTTTGTTTAATGTCTTCTTTTACCTATTGCTTGCTCTTCCCTACAGCCTGCCCAATGTAACTATATTCAAACTACATACCATTTCCCCAGTCTCAATCTCACAAGTTAGAATGTGCACACTGACTACATACCCGGAAGCATTTATAGATGGTTTGACTGGGAGGAACAGAGAACACTAAGGGTCTGTCTACCTGACAACTGACTACTCGCCAACCCAGGGCATGAATCTACAGCACCCCAGTTTGCCACACAATAAGGACACATGCGATACTGCTCGAGTGCGGTAAAAGTCCCAATGTATCTTGATCTACTACATCATCATATATTTTACTGTGCACTTTAATTCAAACATAGGTAAAATATTATGCTATCAGCTAAAGCAATAGTTCACACCCTGAAGATCAGTGACCATAAATAATATGAGCACGAAGTGCTATTTCATCTTCAAAGTGCTTTACAAACATCATTAAGTTTTCAACATGCTTGAGAGGGTAAGTATTATGTCCATTCTACAGTTGGGGAACCCAAGTATGTCAGGATTGTAACTCAAAATTTCCAGGCTCCCAATTAATTGCTCAGACTATACTTTTCCTCTTCTTCGCTTTGCGTACAGCAACCTCCCTTCCCATTCCGTTTCTGATCTTACATTACAGCGGGTTTGCTCAATGACTTGCAACTAGTCCTCCTCAGATGCGAGCTCACCATAAATCAGCATGCCTCTATCCATAGCACTTTAGGAATTGGCACAGATGACTCTCAGACAGCTATGAAGAGAAGCAGCTGCAAATGGAACCATCATATGGAAGGCTGAGAACAAGAATCACTATATTAGAGTATGGACTGTTGATAATATTTTTAATGTAGATATCCACAAATTTCTCCTTTAAACAGCAGTGTAGCTTGGGAGCTAAGAAGCCATCTTCTTTACTAATAAATTAGTTCCCTGTTTAACATTCTCAAAATTTATTTTATAACTAAACAATAGCCTTTTCTCCTGTCCAGAAGGTTGGAGGGTATATATTGCTAATTTGTTCTAATCAAACCAAAGCCAGGATTCAGGCATCAAGATGATTATTCTGAACTGCTTTCTTAAAAGGAACATGATTTTAAGGCCTAAACAAAAACTACATTGAGGGCTTTCATGGAATAAGTTGGCATTGCTGGTGGATTTATGCATACAGAACGCATCTAATCAACTCCTCTGTCAACAAAAGTGAAGGGTTCTAAAACTGTACCTATAATTTGTGTCTGCATTTTCCCATGTCATTTTTAAGGATATGATTCAGATTTGTGAAAGCAAACATAAGTATGGCTGGAAGAAAATGCATGTGCAAACGGACTTTTTTTTAAAGAGATACTATAAAACTAATTTCAAATATGGCCCTACTTATGTATCCTATCAAAACATGTTTTCATACCCATGGAGAAACACACACTCTCTCTCTCTCTCTAAAAAGGCACATATTATATACCTAACTCAGTGGTTCCCAAACCTGTTCCGCCGCTCGTGCAGGGAAAGCCCCTGGCGGGCCGGGCTGGTTTGTTTACCTGCTGCGTCCGCAGGTTAGGCCAAACGCGGCTCCCAGTGGCCGCGGTTCGCTGTTCCAGGCCAATGGGAGCTGCTGGAAGTGGCGGCCAGTACGTCCCTCAGCCCGCGCCGCTTCCAGCAGCTCCCATTGGCCTTTAACAGCGAACCGCGGCCACTGGGAGCCACGATCGGCCTAACCTGCGGACGCGGCAAGTAAACAAACCAGCCTGGCCCGCCAGGGGCTTTCCCTGCACAAGCGGCGGAACAAGTTTGGGAACCACTGACCTAACTAAACTGTTAATCAGATCCACTGATTTTTTATGGCTGAAGCCAAATACTGACATGTACATATTTCTTCTTTATATAAATACACATTCATTGCATGGTGATGTTAAGCACACAAATAACCACCTCTATCTTGTTCTGTACTAATATTAATGTAGTTATATTTTTTTAAATTAACTAGCTTTTTGATTCCCAAAACAGAATCTATAATTAGGTTTTGTACTGCAACAGGTTGAGGACATTTTCTTTTTCCTCTCTTTATGCTGCATTCTTACATATAAAGAACAGAGATGGAAATGCAAAATACATTTGTTTTCAATCACACAACTGAAAACAAATAATTCAAAACCAAAACAAATGACATAAAATTACAGCACTGTATTTGGAAAAATATATTGTATTTTTTTTTTAAGGACCCTTCTGATACAGAGCATCGTGCTGTATACATGATTTGCATAAAAAGTCTGTTATGACACAAAATATCACCAACACACAGACAACAGCCTATTATTTTAACAGAAATACTTTGGGGCCTGATTCTGCATGAGCGTCTCAACCACAGTGCTAAGTGCCCCCAATTCCTACTGACTTCAATAGACTTTTCCTGTAATTAGAAATCAGTGACCAGATTTTTTTTTTTTTAAAAAAACTCAGCCAGAAGGGCTCTGAGCATTTTGGAAAAGTCTGGTGAGAACTGTCACATTAGGAGCTGCCGTGTGCTGAGCACTTTTGAAAATCTGGCTCCAATTCATCCTGATTAGTCTGGTTCTGAATCTAAATGAAAAAAAAAATCAACATTTACAAATTTAGACCCCAATCCTGCAAACACTTCAGTGGGGCTATTCAAGTGAAGTTAAGCAAATCCATAAGCAGTTGAAGGACTAGGGCCCTTAATTCTTAATGTTGTTTAATATACTGTTAATTTTTTATCATCTAAATAGTAGCACCTAGATAATACGAAATTCTATTAGAATTATGTCCAGTAGTTTGAATTGTCTAACAAGTAATAAAAAAATGAACAGACGTTTGTTTTGGGGAAATTATTGGTACCATGTACAAAGTCCAAAAAGTAGAACCACTGCTGTACTATGTTAGCAACAGACAGATTAACCACAGAGGGTGCTCCCATCACAGCCCCAATCCAGCAAAGAACCTAAGCACGTGTTCAATTTTAAGCATGAGAGTAGTTCCACTTAAAACAATGGGGCTACTCATATGTTTAAATACTTTGCCTGATCAGGGCTTATATGCAGTAGAGCACAGCTACAGGGTAGGTCCTATAGTAACCTGCAAGAGGAGGTTTGGGACAGGCTGGCTAGGTGTTAATGGGTCTCTGAACAACTGTTTTGGTTCGTTGTACAAAGCCACCTTGCTCAGGGCTTGTCTCCACTTACCAGTGGATCCACGCTGTGGCAATCGATACATCAGGGGTCAATTTAGCGGGTCTCATGAAGACCCGCTAAATTGACCGCAGATTGCTCTCCTGTCGACTCCAGTACTGCACCAGATGGAAAAGAGTAGGGGAAGTCTACAGGAGAGCGTCTCCTGTTGACATAGCGTAGTTTGGACCCCCACCCTGTGAAAGCAGATCTAAGCTACGTGTCGACTTGAGTTACGCTACTAACGTAACTCAAATTGCATAGCTTAGATCGACTTTCCCCTGTAATATAGACCTGCCCTCAAATTTTTCCACAGGGGATGGTATCTTAAAGCGAGATGTTCTTTGCATCTGATTAAAAAAAAGCTATTTTGTTTAAATAAGACATTTGCTGCGCAAAGTAAATCCTGCTCTGGGAAGTTTTTTTAAAAGTGAAATTTTAAACAGTTGCTTTGATATTCAGGTTCACATTTTTCAAAGACTGAAGCCTCTAGTTTCCAATACATGTAATTGTGCACACCCTCATGTGCAAGCCACTGTATGAGTATGTGAGAATGCAACATACGACTACATGTGCAAAGTGGTGCAAATGGAACTTTAGAGGCCAATCTTAGGACTCCTGAAAAACTGGCCCTCACTAAGTGTCATGAAAATCCCACTGACTCCAAGGCTTCACAAGGCAATCCAGGGTGGAATTTGCGCTAGTTTTTTAAAACTAATCTGGTATGGAGTCTGCAGGACACAGCGAAGCTGTATGGGCTTCACTTTGAATGATGGAGTAGGTCTGCTTAGGTGCTTGTGTGTGAGAGGATGAGGAAAAGATGGGAGGAGGGGGAGCTGAAGTGGACACAGAGATACTCTGACCTTCATCACTAACCACAGCCACTTCCGTTGCCCCTTCCTGAATCAAAGCATTGAGCCCTTCCAAGTCAGAGCAGCTGATTCCAGAATCATTGATGAAAGTCTGGCTTGCTGAAGCCCTGTGACTACTGACTGAAGCAGCAGAAATCAAAGTCTGGTGGAGAGCATTGCTGTCACTTTGGTCCTGGGCAGTGAGAAGAACGGCCGGCTGCCCCACTGACACAGCTTCGCTTTGAGAAATAGGGGGATGAGGCGGTGCCAGTAGACTGACTTGGCGCAGTATTTGCAACTGGCTACTCGCAGATAGGTCCTCCTGATTCTGGCCAACTAATGTGGGAGGCATAACATTCACTGAAGCAGCCTGAACTGTTCCATTAGCTTGAGGCACTTGATGGCCAGCAATGATCTTGACCCTTCCTTCATTGTAAGGAGAAACCTGAGTGGCTTGAATGGGGACTTGAAGGTGACTTACAGTGATTGGGGCACTGGTCTGCCTACTGGGGTCCATGTGCAACTGCAATACAGCCAGTTCAGTACTTTTGGTCCCATTATACTCTCTGTGCTGTTTCTTATGGCTCCTAAGAGAATCTTCTCGGACAAAGGAAGCCTCACACAGGCCACATTTAAATGCTTTCTTAGCATCCAATTTGGCTACTTGCCTGGAGCTGCCCTGCTTTAACTTATCTCCCTCTTTCTTCTCAGTAGTTTGCTTTTTGATCTTGACTTTGTCTCCATGGGCTTTCTTCACGTGCGTGGTCAGATTGCTCCGCTGCTTGGTATCAAAGCTACAAAAGTCACATTTGAAAGGGCGATCCTCGCAGTGAATTCTCTCGTGCACCTTGAGAGCTGCCTTGTTAGAGCAAGAGTAGTTGCATTTTGAGCACTTCACTGGCTGCTCAGGCTGATGGGCTCTTAAGTGATGCCGAAGGGTTGTTTTGTTTCCGCACTGGAACTCGCACTCTGGACACTTGAGCGTGTTCTCCATGCTGTGCTTGATACGGATGTGCGATTTCAGGTTCCCTTTCATGGCACAGCGGACATCACAGAACTCACATTTGTATGGCTTCTCTCCAGAGTGCACACGCATGTGCCTCTTCAAGTCCGAGTTGATTTTAAATTTAGCACTACACATCCGACACTGAAACGGAGCATCTCCTGTCAACAAAACACGCATTTAAATTAGAGGAGTCAAGCCATGAATCTACAGTACTTCCGGGATAGACTGAAAGTTGCAATTAACTGTATAAACTTAAACTGGTACGTAAACTCAATTTGTTCCAGTTAAAATTTCCCATCATACTTCCACAATGCACTAAATTCTTTAATGAGCTGAAATTCAAACGTTGCATTCTCTTGTTTCATCTGTAGCTGATCAGAGACATTTTTGTGTGGGAAACATAGTAGCCACTCCTGGCGCAGAGTGCTTGTGGGTAGAGAGAATATGTGGGCATGCTTGCAGGCCCTGCAGTTTCTTGGTATTTGTATTCCAGATGTTCTCCATTTCTAGTTCATTTTAGTGGTATAAATGGTGGAACACTGTTCCAAAACAAGCTACTGAAGATTCTCAATCCTCCTTCATTAATAAGATTGAACGTCTCAACTAATGCTTTTAACCAATTGAGATAAACATTAAAAAACAAAAAAGTTGTCTCTTTGCTAGATTTTGATGCATTATAAACCTTTCCTAAACATATACGTTAGCATATACACATAACTGTAGTCATGCTGAGAACTTAAGCATGATGGAGTATTAAATCAGTTCCAAACTATGTGGAATTAAATTACTAGCTAATCATCTTTTTAAAATATTTTGATCATAAAATATTTACCACTGAAGACCCAAATTAAAAATCATCCTCCAAAATAATGTACACATGTCTATTCCTATTCTTCTATGCCACATTTGCCCTAGGATATTTGGCTCAAATTTCTTACATTTGTAGAATCTGCACCTTTATTTTTCAAATAAGCCCCCTGGCGGGCCGGACCGGTTTGTTTACCTTCCGTGTCTGCAGGTTCGGCTGCTCGCAGCCCCCATTGGCCGCGGTTCACCACTCCAGGCCAATGGAAATGACACGGGCCGAGGGATGTGCTGGCCGCTGCTTCCCGCAGCCCCCATTGGCCTGGAGCAGCGAACTGTGGCCAGTGAGAACTGCCAAAGCCACGTGCCAAAGGTTGCCGATCCCTGAGCTAGATTTTCAGTTTTTGAAGCAAATGTTGAAAAAGCAAAGAGGGAAGGTGATAGGGAAGGACAACACTTATTATCATGTACTTGGATGCACAGAAAATACAGTGGTTACTCCAGATTTATAGGATTTTCCTACAGTTTGTATGGGGAAAATTTAATTGTAGTGGGGCACAATAATTGGAAAAGAAAAATTAAAAAGAGTGAAACATGCAAAAGATAAATAATGATGTGTGGGTTCATATGAGTTTACTTATATAGAAATGTAACATTAGGGAACTATTTAGTGAATAGTTTTGTCTTGCAATTTGTAATGCAATTCAACTGTTGGAAATGGAGGATTCTGCATGATGTTACCAACCAACTTTCCACAAACTACAGTTAAAAGATTTTTTTAAAATTAGTATGCACGTAGAGATGTGTGCCTGCACAGTACATGTACATGCACAATTTTTTATGGGCACACACATGAAGACTAGAAACAGCTGCAGCTGAAAATCTGTGTCAAAGGATTCAAATGCTAAATCTTGCAAACGTTTTTGTATTTACTCAACTTTAACCTCAGGAATAATCCATTTCCTTCAAGGGAACTACTCACATGGGTAAAGTTAGTTACATGTATAAGCATTTGCATCTTCAGGGCCTAAACCTCTGTTCTTTGCATTTTCTTGCATTTGTAGGGTTGTCACAATATGTGCAGCCAAAATAACCACATATATTTAACTCATAATCAGTGGATCAAATCCAGGGCATGGACTTACAAGACAATGACTCCGTTCCGAATATGATTTAAAAAACAAAAGAAGAAGCAGACTGTAGTAAATAGCATTTTCAAAACAATACTATTCATTCTTAACAGTTCTTCTCTGATCCACTTGAACAGTAAGACATCATTTTGTTATTACTCTGTCACGCCATGGAAGGAGAAAAGTGAAAGAACTATAGGGTGCTATGTAAGACAAATAAAATGCAGGAATGTACTAAGTTCAGTCAATGCTTTGTTCATTAATAATCAAACTGCATATGGCTAATTTATTTTAATAGTTAATATTTTATAGATCTTTGTGATATTTGTATAATTTTGCATAATTTGTTTATCCAGCTACATGTCATTGATTTAGCTGCTTATTTTTCAAATCAAGTTGTGGCATACTGTGCAAATCTCACATCTGTTTAATAATTGAGATATATAGCGTATTATGTTTGTGATAAAGATTTTTATTAACAAAGATACACTGGTTGCTGGTGTAGCTTATTTATTTTACAGTCACAGCTGCATACTCTTCTAGTTGAATTGTAAGATTCCGTTATTGAATTTTTACCTACTTTACTGATGAAGGCATAGTGCATATTTCAATAGCTCAATTTTCATATAATGGACTGACAGTGTTACTTTTGTACTCAAATTCTGCAATACATGTGTTTTTTAAATTGCAGATTGATCTATTATACATATTTACACTACTGGCCTTGCATAATTTGACACTGGCAGAGGTACCAAAGAACTTCAGGGCCTTGATCCTGAAAACTAATACTCATGTGAATTGTTCCACTGAAATTAAGAGAATGAAAGAATTAATCAAATTAGCAAGGGTTTATAAAATCTGACTCCAAATTATACACAGTAGAACCTCAGAGTTACGAACTGACCAGTCAACCACACACTTCATTTGGAACCAGGAGTATGCAATCAGGCAGCAGCAGAGAATAAATAAATAAATAAAAATAAAGCCAATACAGTACAGTAGTGTTAAACGTAAACTACTAAAAAAAATAAAGGGAAAGCAGCATTTTTCTTCTGTATAGTAAAGTTTCAAAACTGTGTTAAGTCAATGTTCAGTTGTAAACTTTTGAAAGAACAACCATAAGGTTTTGTTCAGTTATAAACATTTCAGAGTTATGAATAACCTCCATTCCTAAAATTTTCGTAACTGAGGTTCTACTGTAGGTCACAAAGACATTTACCTCTATGAATTTCTAACAGATTTCCTGCAGTACAAAGAATGGTTGAGCAGTACCATTAGGACCTGCATCCTGAATACCTGTCTGAATTTTTCTTTTAACCCAATCCAGTCCATTTAATTTCTTAGTGAACAATAATAGGGATGTAATCATTTTTTAAAGCTTTGTATTTATATGCAACAAATTACACCTACAAGTTCTTCATATCTAAAAAGATTTACTTGGGAAAGATAGAGCAAGAAACTAAACTCTAAAGACTTGACATCGCATACTGAGCAGTGAAGGGAAGTAGTAATGGGGTCAGAAAAGACCTCAAATCTGTGGAAACAGGAACACAGCTCACACTTACACACATTCCCTCTTGCCTCCTAGCCACCATGGACAAGAATAGGCATTCCAGAGATAGATAGGAGGGAGGGACGAAATCTGATCCCCACTACAGAATGAGGTGTTCCCAGAGGTAATCCATACAAGACTTACTTGAAGAACTCCCCTCTTTGTTTGCAATTCATCTTAGTTTCAAGCCTGGAAGGGCAAAGGCAAATGCAGCATGGTTTCAAAGGGAGTTGTGCTACTAATGAAGTGAAGAGTCATGAAACCTAAAGTGAAGGGTAACTTTTCTATGTGGATAAACTGGGAACTATGCTGACTTCTCAGCAGACCCTAGAGAATCTGCTCCTGGCACATGCCTCTTTCCCTCATCCACCCTGGAACAGCAGGGAAGAGACCACTTTAATTCCACAAGTTCTAGTATAACAAGTCAAATTATTTATTTGGAAGAGGGGAGCATGTGGCCCTGAAAGGGTAACTTGACACAAAGGCTGTGATTTTAAACTGGCAAAGCAAGCCTGTGTTCTCATGCCCATGTCACCCTATTTATCTGCTAAAAATCACAAAGGGCTTATTCACTCCTTGTTCTTCACTGGCTGAACCCTTCCGAATCAGGGCCACTTGGCCTCCCAGTGGCAGAAAATATGTAAGTGCCAACTCATCAGTCTTCACAGCTCACTTCATCGGATGCATCCGATCCGATGAAGTGAGCTGTAGCTCATGAAAGCTTATGCTCAAATAAATTGGTTAGTCTCTAAGATGCCACAAGTACTCCTTTTCTTTATGCGAATACAGACTAACACGGCTGTTACTCTGAAACCAGTCTTCACAGGTGGCAGTGAAAAATCTACCATACTCTGGTGGAAAAGCGGAGAAGAATAAAACAAAACTACTGTTTTCCTTCTTCCATGGATTAATCCTTCAAGAGGCACAACTGCTACAGCTTACATATATGTACCTGCGCACACTTGCATTAGAGGAGGTAAATCTACATCAGGTGTTCTCTGGACTCTATCTATCATTACTATCTGACTCCCCCATGTACAATTGCTACTGCCCATCACATCCTGTTATGTAGCAGCAGAAACAGGTGAACCTTGTAAAACAACTCCCTAGTTGTCCTGCCTGTGGCATCACAGCAGATTTGTGAAGCATAAAAGACTCCTCTGCTCAGGACAGATTGGTCTGACCCGCCGCTCCTCCACATTTCACATGTGATTTATTTCTTTTATCTGCTGGAAATAAATTCCACACTGCCTACATCTGAACTAATGTACAGTGTAATACCTCAATTCAAAATCAGAACCTAGAGCAGGTTCAAAGCTAATATAGTAAACCCTGAATAGTAATCGCTTTGCAGCTAACATTCACAGAATTTATCAAACCTGTAAAAAGCATGGAAACCAATCTAATACGACAGAATAAGTGAAAAGCATCATATGTCAGAGATAACTGTACTGTCACAAAAAAGATCAGTTATCTTTACAGCAAATTGCATACAAACTACAAGAGAAAATCTGATTAAAAGAGAATTTAGGAAAATAATTTAACTATAAGAACTTATGGTTTAGTGTTTGCAAAAGGTGTGTGGGCTGACAACCCTGGAGACTGAAATCATCTATTCACAGAACAAGTATAGCATGGGCAGCAGCAAGGCCAGTTTCCTCTTATTGTCTTGCTAACATGCCTCAGCCTTGATCTGGAGGGGACCCACCAGCAGTGGTCTCTGGAGGTTTAGCTGAATTTGGTCATTTGCAGATGTAAACTAGATGAATTATGGAGAAATTAAAATAGTTCTAGGGTGTCTACATTTGGAGTTTGTACTGGTTTAACTAATTCAATATCTCAATCAATTTAGTTAAACTGTTGCAACTGTTCTATAACTGACTCCAGATTGGGAGTCAGACACCTCTGCACTTCTGAAAATCCCACTGGGCACCTATCTACATTTTTAGCATTAAAATACCTCAAATATGGCCCAACACGTTTTGAAGTCTTACAGTCTAGACTTACCAGTATGGGATCTGAGATGGACAGTAAGCTGGCTAGAGTTGCGGCTCGCATAAGGACAGATCTGGCATTTAAAAGGACGCTCATTTGAGTGGATGCGCTGGTGCTTGTTGAGACTGCTGTTGTCAGCAGCTGCATAGTCACAGTGTTTACACTTGTAAGGTTTCACCCCAGTATGGGAACGCATGTGCATCTTCAGCTTATCTTTGCGACTGAAGCACTTGCTACACACCTCACATTTATGGGGCTTATCTCCTGAAAACCATCAAAAGAGTGTCAAAATAACAATTTTTGTAATGACACAATCTTGGAACTTAACAAAACAAAAAGAAACTATATAGAATTTTCAAATCGCAATAGCCTGAATTTTCCAAAGGCCTCCTTTAATTAAACTCCAATGTTTATGCCTTCAAACACCTCCAGATTAACCATTCCTCCTAATCTGCACAGAAAAGATGGTAAGGAATGCAAACACTGCAACTACAATTCAGAAGACCCTTTGAAAAAATTGTCCCCTTACACTAGCTTTTGAAAGTTCATTTGAAAATGATTTGTATATTTTTTAGAATTAGTGTGTCAAACTAGATTTTCTTTAACTTCTTGTCCTAATCTATAGTACAATGTGGTGATGCACTGAAAAACAGCTTCCCATTCATGCCACAGAGGTTCTCGTGTGTCAGTGATGAGTGAAGCATACATCATTTTTAATGTTCTGAACTCTGAAGGCCAGATGACTAAGTTACAAACTGGCCTACACTAAAGTAGTTTGTACCATAATGAGAGAGTTGGCATGCAAAAGGACAGTCCTTGCATTCCAAGAAGCTAGGGGAGGGATTGTGCCTCTTGAACATGTAGGTTGTACCACTTAAAACTAGATGCTTATTTTGCTGGAAAATCTACTGACAATAACAAGAAGGAAAAATAGAAGGTGATGGCTTTAGATTTTACCTGTGTGTGTTCTTAAATGACGTTCCACATCTTTCATACCATAGGATGTCTTGAATTGGCAACCTGAAAATAAATTAGATACCACAAACAAAAAATTAGATTTTTAAATTTAAGAGAAACTAACAAGACAACGGGACAGGGGACATGTACTTTGACAGATTCAGGATGTTGCCTTTCTCGGCATGTATCTGTAACATTTCTTTGTCAAATATATCAAGGCTCTGTGTTTGTATAAAAATAAAGAGACGGCATTCAACATTGCCGGAAAATGAAGTCCACATCTTGTTTGCATATACTTACTTACAATAAGTAAGTAGCTATACTTACCTATAAACTTTAGTCTTCTAGTGCTTCCCTAGAAGATAATTCATTCTCTGCATTAACTCATTCTGGAATTTTTCGTGGTAATCTCTAAAACAAATTGTGTGGAATCTCTGCCTGGGTTTTGAGATGCACTCTACAGTACACAGGGGACACAGGGAGACTAATTAATTTCATATATAGTCTCAGATTAGAGATAGTGGGCGCCTAGCTAACACATTGGGGCCTTCATTCTCAGGAGTTTTGCCTGAGATCAGAATATTGGGTAGGGCCCTGAAAGTTTGTGTGTGTGCAAACTAAGACTGTGCGTGTGAAATAAGATTCTCAGGTAAAGGAAAGACTTGAAACAATACTGTAAACTCTATTTAAATAAACAAGACTACTCATGTGAGGAAAGTTTAACTTCCAAAGCTTGCAGAACTGAATCCTATATGAAAGAATTAAGCATCTGTTTTGCAGGAATTTATACAGTAACTTCACTGATTAATATGATTTAAATATTGACAATATTTAAAATCAGTACATCCTTGCAAACATTTTGGTTCATCAGAGCTGTGGATACAGTGCAAATAACTTTCAGGATTCTTCACATGAGTTGCAAGATTGGGAACACAGTTAGGAAGATACAAATCAGGACATACTTTTACAGCGATGTGTGTCAGCACACCTGGAAGCCAGGTAGAGCCCCAGTGACCCTGGCCAGCACACATCATTAGAGCAAGATCAGAGTCTGAGGGCTGGATTCAACACTCACTGAAGTCAATGGCAAAACTCCCACTGACTTTAATTGTGTAGGATCAGGCCTAAAGGAGCATATCATGCTGTCTTCTAGATTCTGTGCAGATTAATTTCATGAAATTAGGCAAGCCTAGCATATTTATAACTATCCTAAGCCCACCAATTGCAAAAATGAAAGAAAAAAAGGACGACGTAGCCAATACCTAACCTGGATAGCAGCAGTTCAATTTCTTTTGGACAACTGCAGTAGTGGATTTTCTGGAACGCGTTTTTGATGATGGAGAGACAACAGCAGCAGTCTGAGGTTCACGGCTCTCACTGGGCAGATACGTTTGGTAGCCATGCTCAAAAACAAACTCTGGAGCAGAAACTAAAAACATAAAAATGGCCCACTTTCTTAGTATAAACATCTCCAGTTCGTATCAAATTCTATTAAGCACCACCCGTACCTAGTTCTAGTTTTACAATCACATTTGCCTATTCTTTTATAAAATGTTTTTCTCCACCTATTACAAGTGAAAGCCCCAGGTAAACAAAAAAAGAAACTGACGAAGGCCCCTATCCTGCAAGTCCTTTGCACCAGTACAAAATTGCACTGAAACCCGTGGGATTTTACACAAGCACAAGGGTGTGATGGTGTGGATCCAATTACAGGACTCAGGGCTGAGTCAGTTTCTTCTGCTGTTTGTGTGGGGACGGATTACTTATATAAATACAGTTATACATGTTGTTAAATGTTAGCAGGATCGAAGCCCTAAATCAGTATTCAGGGGAAACAGCAAAACTGGCTTTATACAAAATGCTGTCAAAAGTATGAAGTAAACAAACTGAAAATATAGGTTTTTTTTTTTTAAAATATCTAATCTCTTTCAGTTATAGGAATTTTAGGTGTCAACTGTAAACAGAGTAAGAAAAAACATTTTAACGCAGACTAATTAATGGCTTTTAAGTTGATTAAATCTCACCGCTTTCCTAACATCAAATAGATTGGTATTATTGCCTTTGTTTTACAGGTGAGTAAATAAGAGGCAGATAATTTAAGAAATTCATCCAAAATCCAGTGAATCACAGGCAGGGATTAGAACTCAAAAATTCCTGGCAGCCAGCCCTGAATTCAGTCCACTTGACTATCCTATCTTTTCACTAGTTTTAAGGCTTTTGTATATCAGATTCTTTATCCCAAAACGTTTCTGCAAATCTCTCTGAAAATTAATGTGTCTGTTCAAATTAATTCAAACTAAATGAGGCCCTGAGCCTGAAAACATGCATGCATGTAACTTTATGCAAGTAAAGGTCTGCATATGCTTCAGCCTAACTTAAACCTCTGCAGAGGTAGGAATACTGAGTAAATACTTCTAGCTAACTAATTGTGAGAGCAGTTGTTCCAGTGCAGTGTTCTCTTATAAGAAGGACCTGGACTGAAGACCAAAAAAACTCTAAGCCTGTGTTTGTTAACAAGGGCACCACTAAAAATGTCCTGTAATTTAAGTATTTTTCATGAATACTGCCACTGATTGCAGTTTCCCTTTCATTAAGTGTTGGCTGCATGTTGTATCAGTCTATAAACAGATTCACAGTTTTAATTGTCAAATTAAGTGCATAGTGTTATACCAAAGCTAACAAAGTAGTCAGACTGCTTCTCCTTCCCTCACCAAATCATATGTGAATACTTGTGTGCAAATTGGTGTTTTAACGTAATGTGCTGGGGTACATGGATTTACATTTCTATTTTCTATAGGATGTGTGCTTTCAAATTCCTATGCAATACCTGTGATGGTCTGAGTCTCTGAAGTGATTGTTCTGGTTGTGGTTTGAGTCTGTGTTGATGGCACAGTTTCTTCTGAAACAAACTGGACTGTACTAGTAGTTCCATTTGCACTGATCAGCTGGCAGCCGCTCTGCTTGTGAGCAACGAAGGCATCGAGGTTATTGAACTGCTGCTTGCAAATGCCACAAATGTGGATATCTGGGGTGAGCTCCACTAGGACAGTGGTGCCTCCTGGAACTACAAAAATGGAAGGAGATCAAATAATTCACACTGATGAAATCAAAACATAAAACATTCCTACACAAAAGCAAAGAGAGACTCCAATAAGATTATCAAATGGATCAACACCTCAATTAGAATATCATGCATTCCAGTTTCTCATTGAATAACTGCAACATTTCCCTTTCACCTACTATTGGGAGAGCTATAATAGGAACTGTGAAACCAAGATGCTGAACTCTGTAAATACTAACAGGTTTCAGAGTAACAGCCGTGTTAGTCTGTCTTCGCAAAAAGAAAAGGAGTACTTGTGGCACCTTAGAGACTAACCAATTTATATTAATAAATTAATATTAATAATAAATAAATTGGTTAGTCTCTAAGGTGCCACAAGTACTCCTTTTCTTTCTATAAATACTGTCTTTTATGTGAAGAGGCATAGCATTCAGCAGATGACAGCACATGGGTATTACAACCAATGAAAAACTAAACATATTTAGTGGTATATGAAGCTTCTGGGCACTGACTTCAGTAGGAGCAGAGTATGCTGAGCAGCCTGAAGTGCAAAGCCATTCGATCATAGTTAACCTAAAAAAAAAAGTTACTCTAAGATTCCTGGGAAACTTGATTCGTGAAACTTGCATGCCTGCAATGCTGAACCTTAGGTTGCTGATAATGTTACATTCTGTTTCCATGTTACTCACTAGGCTATAGGGGCTTACATGACAGTTGCGCTCTGGGAACTTGCATCTTTGCATGCTGCGCAGTGACACTCTCACAGCCAGGAGGCTTGCACTACTGCAAAATGCCTTTGTGAACTGGACCAACGGACCTACACCATTGCTCCTTGCATTAAGCTCGGGGGCTTGCCCTATGCACCTGGGGAGCTTTCCCAGAAAATGTAGCCCCTTGCCCAGTGCTCCAATTGTGGGTGGATGGGTCCTTAATGAACATGGATAGTCCTGGAAGCAGAATGGAGTGAGGTGTCAGGGTAACTCTTGCTTGGCTCCCCTGCAGGCATCCTCTGTGCTGCCCAGCAGAGCCCAAGCAGCAAGACGGCCTTTTCCCCTCTGCCCTTTCCTCCCACCGCCTTCTGCCCCGCCTCCTCCCTTGCCCTTACTGCTTAACATCCAACTTCTTCCCCTGCCTCCCCTATCCCTAACTGCCCCATGTGGCCTATCCCTAAGTCCCCGACCTGTTCCCCTGCCTTCTCCCCCACTCACAGCTCCTCCTTCTTACCGTTACTGTTCCTTAACAGCCCTGTCTGCCCCCACACCTCTGTGCCCTACTCCTGCCGCCCCCAGCCTTCTGCCCGCCCCCAATGCCCCCCAAGCGTCTCACGCCCCCTCCCCGGGGGGGGCTAGAACGGTTCCCGCCCCTCACCCCCCAGATCCCTCTTTCTCCCTGACCCCCGATCTCCACCCCCCTTGCCCGTCTCCTCCGCGAGCCTGTGGCCGGAGGAGGAGAGCTGGGGACGGGCGGCAGCAGACCAGAGTCGATCTCCGCCGGGCAGCGCCTCTCGCCCGCTGCCGGGAAGAAGGGGCTTCTTCCTGGGCGGGGCGTCGGAGCCCGGGACCCGCTGCGGTCCGCCCTCCTGCGCTGAGCGGCGGCTGATGGCTCTGGCCGCCGCCCGCCTTCTCTCCGAGGACCGGCCCCTCGCTGCGCCCCGGCTCCCCGCCTGGGGCGGCGGCACCTGCTGCTCGCCCAGGCCCCGGCCCGACGGGGGAACTCCGAAGCGGGGCCGCCCGGGGAGCCTCTCTCCGCGGCCGCCCCCAGCCCCCGCTGCGCGGCGGGGCAGCCCGCCCAGCCCGCTGGCTGCTCTCCCCCGCGTTCCTCCCCGAGCCACGTTCCCGGGCTTGGCTCCCGCCCGCTTCTTGCGCTACTCAGGTTTCGGGGCCTGCCCGGGCCCCGGCTCGGCTCGGCTTCCCCAGCGCGGGCCCCGGAGCGCGCATTGCCCGCTCGGCACTTACACGGCACGGGGCCCGGGAAGCCCGGCGCCCTCCCGCCGCCCGGGTTCATGGCGCGCGGCACGGCCTGGCCCGGGAGCTCCACCCCCCGGCAAGAGGCTCACTGGCGGCGGCGGGGACCCCCGCGCCCCGGGCAGGGACGGACGTGGAGAAGCCCAAGCCGAGCGTGCCCGCGCGCTGTGAGCATGCTCAGTGACAGCCGCGGAGGCCGCTGCCCTCACGGGGCCCGGAACCCACCTGCTAGTTCTGGGGCGGCACGTGGGGACACAGGGGAGCGGGGCGGCTGCTGCCCCTCGCCTCTCTGGGCGGCTCTCGGCAGGTGCCTGTTTAGAGTCTCTCTACGCTGGGCAGGCTGCAGCCGGGTCTCTGTACAGCGCCAGGCAGCCTGCTGCGGATTCTATAGGCACTCGGTGCAGGCTGGTGCTGTGTGTGTGTCTGCAGGCTGGGGCTTGCTGGTTATTATTCATACAGCTCCACGCTGCTTGTTGCCTGTCTCTCCCCAGCTCTGCACAAGAGGGTGCTCGTGTTTACCCATCCCACACACGGCGCACCCGGGACTGCTCCCACAGCTCGGATATTTACAAGCACAGCAAGGCAAATTAAGTGCCTCCAAGTATCAGAGGGGTAGCCCTGTTAGTCTGTGTCTACAAAAACAACGAGGAATCCGGTGGCACTTTAAAGACTGACATTTATTTGGGCATAAGCTTTCATGGGTAACAAACCCACTTCTTCAGATGCATGGAGTCTTTTTACCCTCTAAAGCTTATGCCCAAATAAATGTTAGTCTTTAAGGTGCCACCGGACTCCTCGTTTTTAAGTGCCTCTACTCCGTAGGCTACTGCGTACTAGGTATCAACTGTAAAAGGAGGAATAATCTCTTTGCTGTGCTCTCACTGATTCCTCTGCTAGTTCCGAGGCAGAATAGAAGGGAAAACAGTTTCCCTCAAATGCAGAGGGGAGAAGACCATAGAGGGAGCAGATTGGAAAAGTATTATGTGATTAAAGACTATATCCTAATGCAGTTGCACAAAGGGGGCAAATTAAGGTTGAACAGGCAAATTTAATTCTGATATTTCCTCACTTTTGAGTGCTTGACTTTGCACTCTGAATATTCTTTTCACCTAGTCCTTTGTGTGTAGTTAATTATAAATGCTGGCAGTTTAGTGTATACGCTAAACGGATAGTTTCAAATTACAGTTCATGTTACAACTAGAGTTTTACTCCCCTGGGAAAGTGGCATCTATATGATATCTCTGGTGATTTATTTTGCCAAAACAATATGCTACAGACATAGGACCGACGAGGATGCAGGAGGGGAAAATCCTACTTCTGGTCTCCAGAGCAGAGCCTGCTGAACAAATGTGTTGAATAACACATGGTAGGTACAGGAGGATGATGATTGAAAACACTACATATATCCCCCTTTGAAACTACAGGTACATTTTAATCCCAGTTCTAGATATGATGTCTAAATAATACCATAAAATGATTTAGAATAATCCCCAAAGTTGAATTAAACCACAGTGGTTATTATATCCTGAACATTGATATGGTTTTAGAAATGCATTTGGGATTCTCAAATCACACTAGATTAGACTTACAGAATTTCCATTGAAACTCTGGAAACACACCTTCTATTGTGTCAGCATAAATATATAGTTATTGCCTATAAAATGGGTTTATGAAAACAACCTAGAAGTAGAAAATATGGTAAGTGCTAATGACGCTTTCTTTGGAGTGTGTCCAAAATATATCATGGTTAGGATAGTTATAACAATCAACCTTAATCTATTTTTCCACAGTTTAGAGAAGGCTTCATCATTGAAACATCAGCTCTCACCCTTTTTACTATTTTTTCCAGCATATTTACTTTTATCCAAGGTAGATATAACCAAATTGTTTTTTTCTGCAATAGTACATTCATTTCAGCTACAGTTGTATTTTGGAGTGTAGAATAATTTGTTTTCATAAGTTTTCACTGTGTTATTGCCCTTCCATCAGAACATCAGCCTGACCCAATTAGAAAATACTACAGATCTCAGACATTATTTGTTTTGGGTTTTTGTTTGTTTTCACTGAATTTATTACCTGTGGAAGGGGCTAGAATGACACCCAGGAAGACTGAAGTCCTTCCTTTATCCACACAATAGATACAGCATGGGCAACAGAATTGAAAATTTACTCACTAATCTGCCTTCTCCTTTGGACTGGATGTCCAGAGACACTTGGGTAACAACTTTTAATTGATACCAGTGAAGACTGGAGTTGAACCAATGAGACCAAGGCGCTGGAACTAGGGGTGCTGGGGATGCAGCAGCGCCCCGTGGCTTGAAGTGGTTTCCATCATATACAGGGTTTACGGTTTTGTTCAATGACTTTCAGAACCCCCACTAGAAAAACTGTTCCAGTGCCAGTGGACAGAGGTGAAAGGCACAGTAGCCAATGCATTACCAGTCTTTGGAACCATCCAGTTCCCCAACAATCACTCTTACTCTTGATACTCAGTCAGCTGAATAGGATTAAAAAGAAGACTTACATTAACTCATAGGAAGTACAAGTATAAAATAGTGCAGCTGTCGAGTACTTACTTATGGGGTTCAGGCAGGTTTGTACTTGTCACGGCTAAGCTATGCTACCGTGGCTACGCTACTATATTTATACTTGTGGTAGCTCTCATCAGACTAGTGCAACTATGTGTATGTGAGCTGGGAACTATATCCCTAACTCATAGTGTAGACATAGCATTAGATGCAGGCAAACATCACTCCTACAGCTGGCAGTTCATAAAGGAATTTATTTCCCCTTATTCCTGCCATTTCTCTACTAACAAGCATTTTGGGGCCAGTCCAGCATGTCAATAGCAGCCTGAGCTTCTTAGCTCCCTATGCTTGCAAGGAAAGAACGGAGGGCACTCTGAGGAAAGACATTTGCCAACACCTCCTGAAATGAAAAAGGGGTGAAGCTGCACTCTTGTACTCTTTAATCTGTGGAACTTCACACACAATGTTAGAAAGCAGTTCTGAGTTACAGCACTGCTGAAGATCAATTCAGCGAACTTCCATATTTAACCACACTAAACAATGTTTAACTTTCAAAAGAATCACCCAGTTCATGAGATGTTTCTACAGAAATATTCTTATAAACACTAAGCATAGCATAACTTGACTCACAGAAGTAAATTTTATCAAGTGCATAATGTTTGCAGGATTAGGGCTTTATTTAAATTGAAAGCTGTTTTGGACAGAGACCGGGTTTTCATATCTGACTTTATAGGGCCTACTGAACATTTGGCGCTACATAAATAATAAATAAAGCACCTTGCTTTACGAGGATTGACTTTTGCCAGTATAATACTAGACTGAGAGCTTGAACCGCCGAGCAGACTCTGTGGAGCTCACACCTGACGCTATTTCCAATCTATAAGGCATAAATCAGTATGCATGTGTAATCTTTTTCACCCTTAACCTGACTGAAATGAAAATATCACACTGCTGCAGACCCTCTCCAAGTGCTGTGCAAGTGAACTAGGCCCCAAAAAGACAAATGTCAATCATGAAAGAAGAATTTAAAAAACATACGGGTGTAAACAGTTCCCTAACCAGGAAATTCTAAACAGCCATTTCAGAGCACTGCATTGGACAATCATGGCCTAACTCGTTTCCCAAGGAAAGGGATTTATGCACAGCAAGAACTGCATATACTATTACCTTTATACAAAAATTCCAGACATCCTTATGTCATTTGAGATCACACAGGGGCAGTGTTATCCAAGCTTGCCATCGTAGAAAAACCAGAGAGCTGATCCAAAATCCCCTGAAGTAAACCGAAAGATACCTTTTAATTTATATGAACTATAGATAAAGCTCTAAAAGTGAGACAAACTCCTAAAATATTATACCTTTTATTGTTGTATTTGTCTTGCAAACCAGATAGAGTGGGAAAGGTTTAACAGGGAAGAGAAAAAAAATCAGAGGTGTAGGAGAAGAGAAATATTACGAAAAGTACAAAGGTAAAAATTATTGGAATTAAAAAAGGCATATGGCCTCATTCTAAGTTTGCAGGCACTGATGTAAATCAGGATTTATTCCCCTGTACCCAGTGTATTTACAGTGGGGTAAAACCACTGCATGTGAAATGAGAATCAGGTCCAGTGGGTGCGGGAAAAGGAAAATAAATGTAAATCGTAATTAAAATTTTCAGAGATAGGAGAAAGAGACAAATGAAGGATGGATTTATAGAAAAATAAACAGGGCAATTAAAATAAAGATTCTAGAAAATAATTCTTAGTAATTCATCATTATATTGATGGATAATGACATATGCAGCAACATAAATTCATTGTGCATCAAATTAATTATGTTAAAAGAATAGGTAATCTGTCTCCATGATGATAACGTATAATTACGATAATTCTTTTTCAAATGTTTTAAAATAATGTCATTTCAATTCATAATGCAAGGTAGGTAGTTTGACATCAAATACATTCTCTATTTATACAATATTTTCAATATAAGTGTGCTTCTCAGATTAAGCGATCGGATTAAATGAAGATATCTCTTACTGCTCTATGAACCCTAAAATAATTCGGTGTGAATATTATTCACTGTGCTAACACATAACACACTGACAACAGAGAATATACCTCAAATGAATAATATAACCAAATAACAATTTGTTTCCTTGTAATATATCTAATTATTCATTGTCAGAAAGTTGGTTTAAAAACTATGCTGGGTAAATTTTCAGGGTTTTGTGCAGCAATCAAGCTTTGTTGTCCATCACAAAATAAAAAATGCAGGGCCATGATTAGGAAATTTTAGGGGTAAGTATCCTGGATTAAACTCAGTTTCCAGGTAAGCTTCTGATTATACGTATTTATTTCCACACATCAATGATTTATTACTAATGTTCATCAGCCTCACTTTTTGGAATTTACATGTTAAATTACAGTGT